GACGAATGAATTCGTTTATCCATATCTTCCTATTTCTACAATATGGATCGCACTAATATAGCTTAAATATGCTCATCTTGCTGCTAATGAAGCTGCTAAATTCTACCTTCAAGAATTTGCAGACTCATTTCTTTATCCTAAGGACTACAATTTTTATTATGAAATACTTGACTCTACTGGTTCTGTAGAATTTGATTCTGTTAATCGAACAGGTGGTGAATGTGTTGGGTTTCAGGCACGCATACGCAGCGGAAAACAAAAATTTTATGCGAATTAAACGAGTTTAAATCACATAAACACATGCCCGATAAATTAAATCAATTAATTGCGTACCTTTGCGCTTCCAGCGAAATTAAACAACAACATACATGCTAATTATTTAATCGAATTTAAAACAATTAACATGCTCGCGTTTAAACCAAATAACATGCTCACAATGATTTAAATCGATTACACATAATCACATAAAATCATACGAAACAAACATAAATACATAGGTTTAAACGAAACTCAAATCGAAACTAGGGTTTCGCGTATTTACCTCTTGAAGCGTGAGGTAGGAGCGTTTAGCACGTCGAGATTGCTACGGAAACCAATCCGTACAATCGGGGCAGCAGCGGTGCAGCGGCAGCAGCGGCGCGTGAGGTCACGGCGGCGCGTGAGTTTCACGCGCGAACTTCCGGGCGGCGCGTGGGGCAGCGTGCGGCTTCGGCTCGTGCGTTGCTCCTCGATTCTTCGATCTACAGTCTTCCTCCTCTCGGATTTCACCTCGTATACTTCGATCTACTACAACGTGGCACTAGACACGAAGTAGTTAGAATAAAACGGAAGAAAAGAGAAGGAAAAACAATACCGAAAGGAGAACGGCCGATGGACGGCCGATTCCGGCGACGGAGGGGCGACGGCGGCGCGGTGGTGGCCGCGGAAAGAGAGGCCGAGAGAGAGAGGGGTCGGCCGCTTAGGGTTAGGGTTTGATTGTGTTTGTGCAAGGTCTATAAATCATGTATTTATAGTCCCTTGCATAAAACCCTAGCGGGCTTAAGTTGGACCGGGCCCAACAGCTTAAGTCCGTTAGTACTTTCTCTTGCTCGTCTCTCTTAATTCAATGACCGAAAAATTGCAACGATTACATTTTCGGAATCATTATAATTCCCTCGTCATTACGAGTGCCATCTTTCATTTTCCAACTTTCCAAAAGTGGAAACCCTAGTTCAGTGCACTTTCTAAATTTGGAAACTTCCCGATTTAGAAAGTTCACTAACACGTTCGCCTATTCTTTTCCTTTTCTTATTCTCATTCGTAATTCCAAATTACGAATGTTGGACTCAATCGTATTGACCTCCAATTATGCAAAGATAAACTATTTTATCTCTGACCGTTTATTCAAAGATCTCATGTGCACGAGCAGTGTGACCCTCGATGGTTCAGGTGTAAGCTAGCCGTGGGCCCACAACTCTTTGTGGTCAAAACTCGTCCCTTAGAGTTACGATTAAGATGAAGCTCGTTTCACCTTAATCACCCAACGAATCAAGATTGGCGTCTAGCAACTACGCGTCATGATTCCCTAGATACAAATGAAGTGCCTGCAAGAACCTTCAGATATAGTTAACGTACAGTACGGTCCCTTCGATGCATATGTCCCGATCGAACTAGAGGCATTGGTTCATCGAGACCTCTTTATCTGTTCAATGACGGTGCGATCGTTCTAAGTGTTGTAATCCTTACGTGCATGACTTAGAGAATCGAATTCTCTAATCATCACTTAGTCAGCTCTGGCCAGAGACTTAGAATGATTACAAACTTTCAGAACACACAGGACATCCAAGACTATTCTAGCGATCGAATCCCCGACTACAATGCACAGACCTCCCACTAGATTTCGGACTGCACGAACACTGGCCCTTGGGATGGTCCTCGGTGGAACTCAGGGACAGGTCACGATACAGCTGGTCCTCTAGTGAAGTCACGGTGATGTCTAGGTCATAAGGACTAATGGTGTACAACTATACCATAGATATCTCTACTCGATTATTGGGAACCACTTAGAGATTTCTAGGGTGAGGGAGTTCAGTGAACTCGTCAACTTACGAGCACCCACTTATGCATGCCGATATCACAATACCGTTTACTGATGAGATGCAGTACACATACACTAAGTGCTAGTCTTAATGGGAAAGGCCGATATCCTCATTAGTGGCGTAACCCTTCGACTAGGAACACGTTTAACAGTTATAATACTTAAGTAAATATCTCACGATCCTAACGATCAATTACTAGTACTTGTAATAACTGTAAGGACTATATCTATGCTGGTGACAAAGGGACAAAGATATAGAATGCCAAGGTGTTTTATC